CAGATTTCCTCGCATATAGTGCTTTAGACTTCAAGCGGGGAACACACACAGTTTCAATCTGACTAGGGTCTGAGGCTAGTAACTGAGCACACACAGGCACACACACACATGCACACACAGTTTTAATCTGACTAGCTTCTGAGGCTAGTAACTGAACAGATGGGGGCTCAGAGGTTGTGGCAGAGCAGCTCTGCACCCGGGCCTCAGTTCTGCACCGTCATTTGAGCCGAGCAGAACAGTTTAGAGCCAGGGCCAAATTCTTAGCCAAAAGGGATGTACCCGCCAACGTTGGGTGGATATCATCCGAGCGGATGAGACCGGGCTTTCCCCAAAAGGCACTCCAATTGTCAACATGAACAACACCACTTCGAGGGCACCAGCCAGACAGCCAGCGGTTGAAAGCCGAGTGTCTGCTGAATGCTTCTGCACTGCTAGTGCTAGGTAGGGGCCCAGAGAAGATGACAGTGTCGGCCATTGTGCTAGCCAGCTTGCACACGGCGGCGACTTGCAGCTTCAACACCTCGGACTGTTTCCGCCGAACGTCATTACCACCCGCGTGAATAACAATTCGACGGAAACGCTGCTTGTGGGTCATCATGAGCCTCAGATTCCCTTCAATATCACCAAGCCTGGCCCCAGGGAAGCACCGAACAGTGGCTCCTGGGATCTTAACACCTCTAACAATAGAGGAGCCAATTACCAGCGCATCAGCGACTCCATCGGCTCTCTCAGCAGCTCTCTCAGCGGCTCTCTCAGTGGGGCCTTCTTCCCCGCCCGGCCGCGCGGGGGCGCAGCCGGACAGAGCGTCCCAGCGATTGTAAATGCTAACAGGAGGAGGCCCAATGGGGAAACTACCAACAACACGTCGCCCTCTCCGAACAGTCACAAAGCCATCACTATCCTGGTCTTGTCCCAGCTGCGGAGGACGGGCTGGGAGGCTAGGCTCGCTAGTTCTCCTCTGCCTTTCCCTAAAGCTGCGCTCCGCTGTCCCTGAGGATACGGCCTGGCTGTAGCTAATGCTAGCGCTAGCTCGAGACTCCAGTGCTCGGAGACGCAGCTCTAACTCACTGACCCTGGATTCCAGAGCTACGACTACACTACACTTCACACATCTATCACTACCCTCAGAGAAGGATCCAGGGTTTAGACTCGCCATATGGCAACTCGAGCAGTAAAGGATTGAGGGAGAGACAGCAGCCGCCATAGTAGCGAGTTAGCGGCTAGGCTAGGCTAAGCTAGGCTAGGCTAAGCTAGTACGGATCCGGGCCCGCACAACAGACTCCGAGACCAGACAAACAACCGCTACCTAAACCTCAGCTACAGTACAGCTGACTCGGAGTGCTTACACAGTTAGCTTGGTGTACAATACGTGGATTTGTAATGTGTTTGTTAGTGCAAACAGAGAGCAGAGTGATAGCAGTCAAGAAACACGCTCACCGGATACAGGAAGTCACGTCACGTTTTTGTCCATACATATGAGGAGTATGGATCCCGGCATGTGTGGTCGTGGATTAAGCACATGTGTTGGAAGTGCAGACCCTGCCTTGACCTCACCGCCTCATTGTGGGATACTATCTGAACCTTCTGTCGCCCAGGAGACTCTCTGTCTGCCGTGGCCGTGCTTCGGAGACGTGCTGGCCGCTCCGACGCTCATGAATATTGATTTGGGTCTTCACAAGAATAAATCTCTTCTGACCACAAGCGCACGCACAACACAAGCGCATTGCCGCGAGGAGAGGGCCACAGGTCAGGCACCTTCCCATCACTGGGCAACACTGTTAAACTTAATAGAGTTCAAGGGCTGTGTGAATAATGACAAACAAATAGAAAATGCGATTGTGATCGACTGTCAATGCACAGGGACAAGCTGACAATGGGCTTAGAATGGAGGAAGGAGTCATCTGGTGAGAGAAAGAATGGTTTTCCCATGGCAACAAGACATTATGATTTTTTTTGTATCTATTTCAGGAACAAAAGCAATGATTTCCTGCATTTATGTATGAATGTATGTTATTTTTTAATTAGGAGGAAACATTGAATCAAATGTAAATATAGAGTCTACCACTGGAGATGATAGACTCTATATTTGCATTTGATTGAAACGATATCAGCAACCATCCACTGCATACGTTAGTTGCCACGCACTAGTACGAGAAAGCAGAAATCAAATGGGAAGTCAGTGACCAGGGATTGCGTATAAATATAAAGGCATAGTGTTTCTCATACCAGAGCTCATACCTTGCCCATTCACATTTCTTCCTCAGTTTCTTTGTGATAGTTTGACATATTTCCTCGAAGGATAACTTCTGCTATAAGTATACCGTTACCATTCTTGAGGCTCTGGATGTTTTTTACGTTTTCTGAACTCCAACAGTGACACTGTTTGTTCTCTCTCATAATGTCAGCAGGAAATATCACTCTCTGACATTTGATATGTCAACATTTTATTGAAGGCAGCAGATGGGCTGAACTGAACTGTCTACAATCCTAAAATCATGCACAAGGCTGTGTCACTTTCTCTTCTTGCTGTTCGCCACTGCTCCTGTTTCCCGCCACTCAGTGACCTACAGAAGAACAGTATATGCCAAAATGTAGCAGTGCAAAGTCGGTGGTGACTCTGAAAGTGGCTTTACTCATTCTTTATTCATGAAAGATATAGTCTGCATTTGTCCCACCTGTGTCATGGATTGATTATAATGTAAAAGATGGACTTACTGTAAAGTACGTGGAAGGTTATAGGATCAAAAACAACCTTCTTTGTATTAGGGCCAGTGTTGGGCACGTTACTTTGAAAAAGTAATTAGTTATAGTTACTAGTTACTTCTCCCAAAAAGTAACTGAGTTACTAACGGAGTTACTCCACTATAAAAGTAACTGGTTACCAGTAAAAGTAACTATTGCGTTACTTTTTCGTTTTGTTCTGGAACATAATGTGCACTCGAGGTGCGCATTTTTACCTTTAACCTCAGTGAGTCGGAAATATTGCCAATATTTCCATCTAGAAAAGGCTGTTTTGCTGCTGAAGTCCTGTTCACTCTTCATCTCTCTCTGTGCTGTAAGCACTGAACACAAACACCCTCCACTGTAAATGTGGAAACACCGGTGAAGCACTGACTTCAGCCCAATCAGATGAACATATTTATCATATAAATCAAGTGGACCATTTGTTTGGCTACAGCAAAATATGTTTCATGCCCGCATTGTTTGTTCATAACAAACGCAAAACTATGAGTTATGGGTCTTACCTTATAAATGACCTGCACAGACCACTTCAGTTCAGACCAGTTCTGTGTTTAAGTCCAGATAATAGTTTGAGCGTAGATATGTAATCCTCCGTTTGGAAATGAGTTTTAAAAAGTAAAACAAAACGCGTGTGTCCTCCGTAAACTACTGTTTTGCTAGGTGCAGCCGGGTGCATCCAATTTCTAAAATCAACCGTCTTACACTTCACCTCTCTTTCTTATCATTCCTATAGTAATTGAAAAATTACCGTAAGTGCATTTTAAATTATCTTAAAATGTGTTATATGTATGTTAGCCAAACTTGTTGCAGCCATTAGCAGATAAACCAGGAAGAGAAAGGAGCTTTCTGATGGAATTGTATGCAGCCTTCTGCGCTCACATGAGCTCCTCTGAGCCCTCACGGTGATACAAGCTGTGGTTGAGCGCGACTAAGACCCATATTTGTTTCAAAAACACAATTTATGACCATCCTCTCAACTGTAGACATGTGGATTGTAAAGGAAATGTTTTACATCAGCCAATAACATCTGAGAGGTTTTCTCATCCTCCCTTCTCTCATGACAACACGCGCACGAGTCCTATCACGAAGGAAAAAGAGAAGTTCATTGTGCGTCTTTAGTAACGCGCAGTAACGGGATGTCGGAAATGATAACGGCGTTATAGTTACAGTCAAAGTAATTAGTTAGATTACTCGTTACTGAAAAAAGTAACGGCGTTAGTAACGCCGTTACTAGTAACGCCGTTATTCCCATCACTGATTAGGGCCACTAGTTTACCAGACTTCTCCAATGGCTGACAACATGGATTGAAAACCTGGTTTGACCGGATTCAAAATGATCTGGGCTTTAAAATGGGATTTGATATGTGCATATTGAGTCACACCACAGCATACAGAACATATTTAGCTGCAACGACTCAGTTATTCAGTTATTGACTGTGTTGCAAAGATTCCGAACTTTATAACAAAGGTATAAGATGACTAAATTGGTGTAGCTGAAGTTGGCTGAATGACACTGTGAAAGTATCTTAATGTTTACTTTTTGTTAGCGGCAGAGGGACACATACTATGACACAGTTTGGACATGTCTGATTTAAAAGAGAATGACTAATCTGTAACAAATTAGTTCAATTATATTATAATTGTTGCATATCAAACGATTTAGTGATGGAAATAAGTTTGATTTTCATCAGAATCTCAGATAAAACACATCTTAAGATCCACATGTACCAATCCACAGGTGCTAATATTCGCAGGTGCAAAGTATAACAGTGTATGTGATGTTAGAGTTTTGTTACTTAAGACCTGTGCATAATAATTCATAAAGGGGTGCTGATGACATTAGCGGGTGAGCAAATGCTTGATAGATCAGGCCCTTAGTGCTTTTGATGTTATCATATATTTGGTCTGTAAACACCTTTGATCAACATGTCATCAAGCAGCGTTATTTAAGCCTTCACTCTCATTGTGTGATTGCTTTTTGCTGTTTGTGAATAAGTGACATTACATAACTTTCTGGAGGTGCACATTACCTACTTGAAATCAATATACTTTGTCTAACTTTGGACTAAAGCATTACTTTCCGGGGCTTTAAAGGGTTTAAAGAGTTGATACAAATATGTGTATGTCTAATTGTCATTGGAACTATTTCTTTGGAGACTACTGGATAATCCACACAGAAAAGACAAGTTCCAGAGCCAATAAAGTCTGGACCACGTCTGCAGTCCAGAGAGTGTGTATATATATATATAGCTGGTGATATGTTTCCCTTTGTGGCCACTATCCTCAATCTCCTCCCTGTCACTGGAGTGCGAGATCTGCAGTCAGTAAGCGTGCCGTGCTTGTGTCCTCAGGAGGTGAGCGATGCCGACATGATGGAGCTGGTTCACAGCTCTCTGGGCAGGATGACCATCATACGTCAGATCTTCCCGCTGTGGAGGGACACCAACGTGCGCTGTATGAGGAACAACCACCGCATCTCCTCCCTGCTCTGTGACCCGCAGGAGGGGTATCTGCAGTCCCTGGAGGTAAGAGGGATGCGCTTGGGAAACCTCTTAAAATGTCTTGTCTTAATTTATTTGCATTTTAGTCTACTGCTGGTCCATGTGCTGTTTCTATATTCTCAAGACAGTCACAGTCAAATGGAAGAAAGGTTGGATTTGTACTTTTAGGACTCCCAGATTTCTGAAACTACTTGAACTCCCAGAGCCGTCATATTGACATTTATGGACATTTATCAACAGTCATGGACATTGGTCTCTGCCTATGGACCAGTACCAATGTGCTCTATATTTTTTGTGTGTTAGCCATTGACACTACAATTTCAACGGTTCTTTGAGATGACTTTGAATTGAATGAAGTGATTTGAATTGACTGCTGTGATTTGAACCAATGGGATTTTCAGAAAATCCCCCAAATAATTTTTTTTCACCAAATTCATAAAAATACATTAATATACCGTTACCCACTTTTAATAAGTGCTAAAACTAGTCAATATAACTGATATAAAGTGAATGTGTTGCTGTGGTAACAAACACTTGATATTCTCTGGTGGTGGTATAGACTGGTGGTCAAAAGTAGAGCTAGAAAAAAAATCTCACAATAAATAATGTAAAAAAAAAAAAAAAGATCACAAAGTTATGCAAACCAAGGATGCACATGAAATGAGTAATTACATTTCCAAAACTAAAAGCCGTCAAATTGACTGCTCTGGGAGTTATCGTGTTCAATTACAGTATTAAGCCTGTGTTCTAAATCCCATGAAATATTAGATTAGAGTAGATTAGATCAGATTACTTTAATCGATCGCAGTGTTCTCAACCGCACATTCATAACAAGGCAATCTTACAAATTGAACTGTATGTGCTACTTATTCCATAGTTACTGTTAATGTTCATTCTCTTCTGGGGGCTCAATACAGTGGCATTTCCCCTAACTGCAGAACACAACCTCCATACGAATAACTATGAAAGGGCTCCTCACAGAAATAAATAAATACATGTAATTCTACTGTATACATGTATCTACCTATCTATCTAATTCTACTGCACACATGTAAGTATCTATCTATCTATCTATCTCTCTATCTAATTCTACTGTATACATGTAATTCTACTACGACTCAATCTGCATCTCCAGGTATTTATTTGCCTTTACAAGTGTGCTATTCCACCCACACCTGCTCCAGCCATAATTGTACACGACCTTGGCTTGGTCTCGATCCATTTGCTTTGATTATCTCGACTATACGGTACGCAGGGAAAACTAGATCCAGAACACGCACTCTGAACGGTACAACTTGCTCAAATCTGTCTACTCGCCTCGTTCCTGCTGAGTAATCAAAATGTCAGCCCCTCCATTCTTATGCCGCGTCGATCGCAGCCATACAGCGGATGAGGTCCCATGGCAGCTCGTGTGCATACAAAGCTATAGAGGAGGGCAAGCTGCACACAAGGCTTATGATGGATGAATTTTAATGTTGTATTTGACTGGTGGCAAGGTTGTGTTCCCTCTCTTTGCATTTTTTGGGGCAGCTTTATCCCTCCTTTGTAAAGTTTTAGTCACTTTGGGGACTGCTCTGAAGGCCACATCGCCGTCGTGAACAGAGGGTTGTCATGCAGATGGGGTTTGGATGTGTGGTGCATGTATACAGTTACACATGCAAGGTGTGTTCTCAGTTCGTTGCTTGTGTGTAGCGTGTGTATCACAACAGAGGTCGTCTCGGGGGACTTACAGTAACAACATTTCCTCAACAACAAATCAGAGAATCACACAGTTTGAACACAGGAAATTCAATGATAACAAACCATAGACTGAAAACTAATGTGCCACAACTTCCGCGGTCTACGGTCAGTTTCAAAATGGCCGCGTGGGCTGGAAAATGTGAATAAACGCAACTGCGCATGCGTCAGCTGGCACGAGCCCCATTCATTTGGCGAGTGCCTTCAACATTTCACAGCGACTAAACTAGACTGGTCCAAAAAAACTCACTCCCCTCAGCATTGACACACATATGGACCGGAGCTTTGGGCCAAGAGCCGACTTTTGGACCATCCTGTAAAGACGTTTAGGAGAGGTCAGCTAATGCTATATGTTAGCATTGAATAATTCTCATTCCGGGTCCACCCCCATTGGCCCGGGGTGGTATTGCAAGCATGTCAGAGCATGTAATTTTGGCCACTTTTGAGCCGGGACCCGCCCCCACTGTAACAAACACATTGGAGGAGGTGGATAACCAATATCTAACATGTCCCTAAATGTACTTCAATGTCTAGTTCTCTCTCAGTAGATTAAATAAGTTATTTACTTTGATACAATGATATTCAGTTTAGTTTCACTTGAATGCCCATTGCTCATCTTTAAACAGATGTCATTGTGGAAATACAATGTTTATTTGTATAGCACACTTAATACACAGAGCAAGTCTTTACTAGAAAAGAGAAGGAGTATAAACATAGGCTTAGTGTAATCACAAGAATCAGCACTTTAAAAATCAAGAATTAAGTAGAAATTGATATAAGTAGTAAGTAGTAGTAAGTAATCCTTATTTATATACCGCCTTTCACAGACCAGGGTCACAAAGCAGTTTACAATTTTTTTTTATGGCATTTGTCCTCTCACTCCACACAGAGATGGGCGCGGGGTCGCCAGTACAGGAGGTGCATGCCAGACCTATTGCACATGTTTTTAGTGGTAGGCGAAACCGGAGTACCCGGAGGAAACCTACGCAGACACAGGGAGAACATGCAAACTCCTCTCAGAAAGGCTCTGATCGGGATTCGAACCCAGGACCTTCTTGCTGAGAGGCGAGAGTGCTATCCACTCAGCCACGTCATTATGCACAGCCAAATTTTAGCTGCATGGATCTGAAAGCTGACTCTCCAATAAATAATATTTTGGACGGCACAAACAGGCGGCACAGTGGCGCAGTGGCAATAAGAAGGTCTCGGGTTTGATTCCACCTCCGCCCTTTCTGTGTGGTGTTTGCATGGTCTCCCCATGTCTGTGTAAGATTTCTCCATGTGCTCTGGTTTTCCCCTACCACTCAAACATGGTAGTCCACGCCCATACACCCTCCTTGAGCCCACTCCAGTCCGATCTCTGTTGGACCTGGACTCCCCTGAAATACAGAACATGAAATCTTAGAGCGACTTTTCTGGTTAAATGTTAGTGTAGTGTGTGTTTGTGTGTGTTTGAGTATCTGGAAAAGTGTTTCATTAGAATAATCCATCATATGTTTTGCTTTGTTGAGTGCGGAACTCTAAAGACCAACTTTTAATACATTTTAAATACTGTAGACAACGCCATTTGTCTGGTCACTATTCTCTCCACCACACCACAATCAGATTGGCTAATCCACCTGCCAATCACAGTAAATGGGTGAATCTCTGCTTAAAGGTCCTATATCACGCTTTGCTTCATGTTTCACACTCAATCCTATGCACATGTGTGATATTAATGTGTATGATTCACCACACAACAATCAAAGCTTGTGAGACTAGAGCCATCTCTTGTATAGAGGTGACGTCACCTCGACTCAAACGAGCTGATCCAGAGAAGAGTCTGCTCCTCTGCCTGTGAGCCCGCCTCCCCCCGCCCGCACGGTGACGTAGCATCACGCGTTTGTCGTTTATCACCTGTACTTAGTAATTTCATACATAAGAATAAACTTTTTCCAACAATGACAATCCGTCACATCGAGCCCTATGTCCTCGATGCACAATCAGACCCTAGTTATTTAGTTTACAGAAGTATACAGCGAGTTAGCGTCACTACTTACAGATCGAGGGGGTCCGAGTTACGTCTTTTACCGTGGGAATAACGTGTTTCCAGATCAGCTTTTGAGTAAGTCCAGTTCCATTGTCCCTGTAGTTCTGGAACAGTCTCAGTGAAGTGTCGCAGATGAACCGGTATTATAATAGATCCATGAGATGAACAGATGAAAAAAGTCGAGCCGCTTTCTTCCTCTTAGGGCCAAATAGTGTGTCACATATTTACACCCATAACACACTTCATTCAAGTTGACGTGATCCTAACACTTTTAGTTGCTGACAAAAGCATAAAAACAGTAGCTCTATGTGGTGTCCGCGAGACCAGACCACAGACGCTGGACTCGGGAGCCGGAGCCTGTGCGCTCTGATTCGCTGTTTTGATCCGTCAATCACCTCCCGCTGGCTTTTAATTTATTTTTATTTTTATTATTTTTGACAAAAAACAGCATACTAATTGTGTATTGTTTACCCCGTTTTGACAAAAGTATTTAACAACTATTTTAAATACAAAGCAAACGGGGTCATGCGCGTCATCAGTGTGGTTTTCGTCACTGAAGTGGACCCGAGCGTTTCTGTGCCTCACGCTGGGGAAGGAGACAGATTGCTCTCTTACAAAAGATTGACAGAATCAATGAATAAACTACTGTGGGCTTGTGTATGAAGGCCAAATAGCATTGTAATCATGTTTAAAGCAGAGAAAAGTCAAAAACCGTGATATGGGCCCTTTAAATCTACTCCTCCATACTCAATCCCTGATGTAGCCTTAAAATGATCTAAAATGATTGTCATTTGTAGCGAATAGTGAATTGCATAACACTATACAAGTCTGAATGGGTTCAGAGGATTTTAGCTGTGAAACTATCAACGTCCAATGTTCTGTTCCGACTCTTCTGACCCTTTCTGTCTCGCTGTCAAAGAAAATGCTCCTATTGTCAGTGGGCATTATGGACAAGCATCTGGAAAGTGCCACATGAATGCAAATATTATCCAATGATTATGTATGCCACTGGATGGAGATTGAGCTCCCCAGATAAGGTAATTACCAGGAACACGCATGCCCTGAATACCAATCACTGCGCTCAGTGTGACTTTGGAAGGTTCAGGTGGGGGAGAAGGAAAATGTTGTTTTAACACTAGAAAGGATCATTTCACTTTTAATCTAACTTTACGCCAACTTTAGTGGGGTTTGAATATAAAAGTAGGAAGAAGAGAAAAGTTGTTATAATTGAGTATAGTGGAAATACAGTACTCCTAAT